CAAGGCAGGTTGGTATGTCTCCAAATGCTGTATGAAGACAGCCTGCATAATTTCAGGTCCAGTTTTTCTTATATTAAAAAATATTATTTTAAATAATGAATGTTTAAATTAGTCAGGGAGTAAGGTTCAATTTCATAAATGGCAGACAAAATAATTAGTCGCTAGTAGAAATGTTCAGATTAAGAAGTCTTAAAGCTGCATTCTCTCTAATGTCCACCAGGGGGCGACTCCTCTGGTTGTATAGAAGTCTATGAGAAAATGACTCTACTTCTCTCTTGATTTATTACCTCAGTAAACATTGTAAACATGAGTTTATGGTCTCAATCTCTAGTTTCAAGTCTTCTTCAATACAGCATGATGTTCATTTAGTACATTATGCTCCATTTAGAGTCACACAGACCATAAAGCAGGGGATGCTTTAGGGCGGGGCTACACGGTGATTGACAGGTCTCTCTACCAGAGACGTATACTGCATCTCTACATCACTCTTCCGCATTGCAAATATCGTCACTTCTGTTAATTGGTTGCATAAAAGCCAAGATGATGACGGCCAAAACGTCAAACTCGAGGCAAACCAATGGGTGACATGACGATGACTTCGTCCACTTCTTACAGTCTATGTTTCAGCCCCTGGTTGTGACGCTGTCCACAGATGGACAGACAGATATAAAAACACCTAACAAAGCACTCAAAACCTCTTCTGTGGTAGTTCCCACTACAGTGTGTCTCCAGGACCACATTTTGCCATCATGACACACACACACACACACAAGTCAAAAACAATACAATATGTTGCAGCTGGTAATAATAGGATGAATAAAAAATTATTTGACAGTGAACTGCCAAAGCAGAAGCACTTCTGCCTCATTCTTCATTAAGTGAACTGGACAAAAAAGAAAACCCACAAACCTGTTACCGACTCAGACTGCCCTCGGCGGGCCTCATGCACTCTGTCGCCAAATCCTGACAGCCAGTCCTCCCACGAGTTCAGTCCCCAGGATAACAAGAGGTGTCTGACTCCTTGGACTCTGCTCTCAGCCACAACACTGACGGGCTCCTACACAATCCGAGCTGACAGAAACATGAGGCGGTGTGGTGAGAGGAGAGGAGGGTGAACGTAATGTCATTTGCCTGGAGACTCGTCGGCTTCACACGGAATCTGCCTCAGTGTGGCAACAAGCTTCTTTTTTTAAGCACACACCAGCTATGAAGATACCAAAGCTAAAATGCAGCCTTTAAATTCTCTTTACAATGCATTGAAGTATTGAGTCAATGTGCTATACTTGCTGTTTGTGTGAGTGTATGGGCTCTTTGATAGCACAATTGATCTACTAAGAGCCTTGTACGATTTTTATTTCACCACATGCTGTATAGCTGATAGCTTTCAGGACACACTGAAGGTCTCGCAGACTTCATCTGACTGTATCTTGGTTCAGCTGCACAAAGCAACAAATTAAATACAACCTATGACATGAAGGAGCTGAAAGTAAATCACAACAATGAGGTGTTCAAGGAAATGCTGGCGTGTTTTTTAAAAGGATTTAGTCAAAGACAGACACAATTTTCAGGTTGGTTTTCTATTCGCAAATTAAAGTAGCAGGATTGTTGATCAGTGGTGGAAGTACTGAGTATTCCCATTTTATGCAACTTTTAACTGCACCCATAGATGGATTACTGAACGGGCCTACAGGGGGGCCCCTGGCTTTCACCTACAAACTGTCACTCAAAGAGACACATACCAACGGCAAAGAGACTCAAAAAGACCATGAAGAAAAAGACTAAATATACTCAAAGAGGCAGGAAATTACTACACAAAGACACAATAACCACAAAGAAACAAAAAATGACAAAGAGACACAATGACTACAAAGAGAAATAAAATAAGTACAAAGATACACAAAATCTTCACAAAGAGATGCAAAACAGCAGCAAAGAGACTCACAACGACCATTAAAAAGGACAAAGCAACCAAATGACTACAAAGAGATACAAGACAATTACGAGACTCAAAACAACCACAAAGAGACACAAAACGACTACAAAGAGACACAAAACGACCACAAAGAGACACAAAACAACCACAAAGAGACACAAAACGACTACAAAGAGACACAAAACGACTACAAAGAGACACAAAACAACCACAAAGAGACACAAAACGACTACAAAGAGACACAAAACAACCACAAAGAGACACAAAAATACCACAAAAGGAACAAAGCAATAGCCAAAAAAAAAACATGGAGATGTGTAACAACTACAAAAAGATGTAAAGCCACAACAAAAAGAGGCTTAACAACTATAAAGTCTGTGTGTTGCTCCTGTAGGAGAGGTGGTGGGGCCTTTAGCATGTCTGTGTCCAGGGGCCCGTTGTCTTATCACTTCTTCCACCACATCTTAGAGGCAACTATCGTACCTTCTACTGAACTACATTTATCTCACAGCTTTAGTTACTTTTCAGATTTTTCATCCCCTTCCTGTCCGATGAAAACCACGTATCTCCAGCTGTGTTGCTGTTGAATGTTTGTGATGAACCGAAGGATGAAGTGTTCCTTCATTCCTGTTGGATCAGCTGAAAAATGCATCGTCACAAAGCGTATGGTGCTTGGAGTTGCTGGAATCTTTGCAGTTTCTTTTTGCCTCACCAGCTCATGTTGACTTCATGATTAATTAGCTTGAAGCTCGTTAATCCTTGTGGGACCAACATAAATAACTAACGGCTCACTTACATTCAACCACAACTGTAGCGCTTTCAAGAGGTGCGTTAATTAAAATCACCAGGAGACCTGAAGAACATAATCTGGATTTCATATTATAATTGAATGGATTTCATTTTAATTACGTTTTAATTACATTTTATCCAAAAGCTGTTTACACACCTTGTTTTTATTTAAAGTTTTTTTGTTAAAGTCGCCACAGGCACAACTGCAAATCATCTTTTTTTTTATTATTTGTGAAAATTGCCATTAATTATTTTCTCAGTTCTGAGGTGAAAAGAGCAGCGAGCAATGTCCAAAGAGACACAGAAAAACATGTTTAAAAATGCTCACATCCGTCTTGCTGCTAAATTAATTCCTAAATATAGTGTTGAAAAATTGAAGTCCTGTCCTGTTCTAATGCCATATTTCACAGAGTGGAGTTCGGGTGTGAACATAACACGAGGCCATATAAGCTTCAATTTTAACAGAGGTTTTTCCAGTACCCCTTGTGCAAATGAGACATGGCTTCTAGCTTTTTTTATTCAAAGGCGAATTTCAAAACCACTAACTGTACTTTCCCGTGTGCTCTCATGCTTCAATAAAGACTGGAGTATTCTTCATTCCTCCTCATTTGGATAATAATTCACAGTTGGCTGTTCTCACAAAAGTTATCTTGCAGAAGAACTTGGGCTTTGAGGCGGCAAAAAAAAAAAGTCCTGATGTGCTTTCATCTACTGTAGTTAACATGCAAAAATAGAAGTGGAACATGAGGACGGGCGACTGACAAAGCCGCGAACAAATAAAAGCACCCAGTGCAGCCGGAGAGAAAACAGGAAGAGAGGGATTGATGTCTGTTTTTGGATCAGGCACTTCCTCTCTGTGACTCACTGCGAGCGCTTCAATTCCCACCAGATTCCAACAGTTTCTGATGTGGAGGATCTTATTATGTTCAGAATTTTTTATTTTTTTCCTTGATAAAATATCGAAAGATATACGCTAAAAAAAAATTATGTTAATGTGGGGAAAGGATGCTGTGCACTGAGTCAGACTTGAAGCGTAGTTCGTTGAGCTTTTCCTCGCAAAACTCGTCCTCCCACTCATCCACCCACACAGACATGAACACCAGCAATAAGTCAATATATATATTTATATTTACCAACATTTAGGGCTATATTGGAACCAATACACGGACCAGGAACAAAATGAAAGCCCTCAGGAGCCCGTAATGCTAGCTACAGGTAGATACCAGCAGAATGTCCACAGACTATATTCCTCAGTGGTTCAAATGCTGCCTGGACACAATGAGTTAAATTACAGTTAAGAAGAGGTACAGAGAATTATGTATTCCCCACTTCCCCTTTTGAAGGTACTGCCAATCGAACGGGGCTGTGGAATACAAATAGATTTCTTTCTTTTTAAAGACACACCATCCACTGTTTTAAGATGCAAACATGCCTTTATACGAGCAAAGCCTGATGTAACGCGTAAAAAAGAAAATCAAACTATGGTACGATCAAAAGATCTCAAGGACACTTCTGGTTTTCAATGAGGTCACATCTGTAATAGGCTAATGTAGCTCTCACCTTCACAGTTTACAGGAGCAGCCTTGAGGGAAACAGGCCAGCCGGATTCGGGCGAGCTGTGGGCTTCGGGGAGGCCTGTGTGGGCCGCCTGTAGAAAGGGTGCCCTTCATTTCTAGACAGCGTGCCCTTTTTAAAATACAATCATAGATAGAGAGTGAGTGGCAGCCTCACTGGTCGTCCGTCCCCACAGAGCGCTGCAGGAATGAGTCAGCATTTTTGCACTTCCGGTTCCCTCTTCTCAAAGTCAATGGGCTTTTTTAAATGTGTGTTTGGTTCGATGCCTGAAATAAGGTCGGTGGTTAACACGAGCTTAGACTTAGTTTTTTATTTTCCTGCTTCACAGACTTCGGCGACTGTGATCCATGCTACGATTATGAAATGTCAGAAATGAACAAAAATAATATTTTGATATTGGATTGGAAACCAACATCTGCTTTTGGTGAAAAGTGGGCAAATCAATGTTTATACAATTAATAGAAAAACATTATTTTCTGTATTATTCTAACTTTGCTGCAAGACATTTTTTAAATCATGCACAGGTGAATTTGCATTATTTATTATTATTTTATTAAAGTGTGTTTAGCGCCACACTCAATGTCATATTTCACTTCAAATAAACTGGTTTCCACTGCTTAGGTTCACCGTTTATTATCTTAAATAAAACAATGAGGCCAATAATTCAGAACACCCACTGCAGAAACTTTGAACACGGATTGTGTCACTGCAGCTTGACTTCATTTGGAACAGGCAGGCCTTTCACTGCAGCCAGGGCGTTTTCTACCATCTTCTCCACGATCGCTCTCACTGTGTCGTAGGTACTGATCCCGATGTGGGGGGTGATCAGCACATTAGGCAGGCCGAGGAGCGGGTGATCCCTGCACAAGATGAGGCAGGGGGGGATGTTAGGAGTGAGCAACAAGTGATGCATGGGACATATTATGTCGTGCACGATTCTGTGTTTGTGTTTTCAGTGCAAGAGACCTCGGTAAAGGTTCCGGATGAGTCACATCTAATGCCGCTGCACGAATTCTTCCCGACTGGAGAGCTTCGACTAACGCATCCTGGTCCACGACTTGACCTGAGGCATTAAAAGAGCATTACTATTGTTATTATTAACTTAATAATCAATGCAGTCGAGAAAACCCATTGTTCCTACCTCGGCTGATGTTCACCAGTGTTGCTGTGGGTTTCATGAGTGACAGCTCTCTGTGGCCGATGAGGCCCGTTGTGTCCGAGGTCAGTTTGACAACGATCACAACAAAGTCCGACCTCCTCAGCAGGTCATCCAGGCTCCGACAGTAACTGGCTCCAACCGCCTGCTCATCGTCTACACTCCTGAACAGAATAATGGATGAGTGATACAGAGTGTAATCAACATGGTTAATGAGAGCGCATCCATTTTTCAAGGGAGGTTGGTTTTTAATAAAGAACGGATGCAATCAGCTTCTTTTCTTTTTTCTTTTTCAAAAGCAAACAAACATGGCTATGTTTGATATGTTTCCATTAAACCTGTAAGAAAATTGCTCCACTGTTAAGCGTTAGCTGGTAACCATATGTAAATGTTTGATTTCCTGTGTGTTGTGTTTTCACACCGGGCAAGAAACCCGATGCTCAACAATGTAAACTCTCAAATACAGTATGTTGGTTATGTCTCCAATAAAAAAAATCCTTAAATAAATGTATAGTAACAGAACCATGCTGTGGTTGTTTATTGTACCTTCTGGTCCTGTTGTGATACAGGATCTTCATTTCAAATCCTTTGCTTCTTTGGGCGATTCTGTAACCGATCTCTCCCATTCCAACGATCCCCAAAGTCGACCCTGTGACCTCAACTCCCATGAGGCTTTGTGGTATGTGGACGGTCTTTGGGTCAACAGCTATTCGATGAGCTGTGACGGAAACAATTTGATTACATTTAAAATGACTTACTTTACAACTTTACTATAAATTGTAATTAATTGACTTGCTGTATTACAGATTCCCATTGTGTCTAATCCCTCACTGGCTTCCCAACAAACAACTTGTGTTGGACAAAATAATATACTGAAAAAACTATCACGGTTGGGTATAAATTAACTCCGTAAACTAAGTAAACAACGTAACATAATTACTGAAAAGTCCCTTACATCACTAATGCAATTTGTAATGTCCTGTTTGTTTGAGATACTAAATAGAAGCCCTGATATAAATATACCCACTGAAAAGCTGGACTATTTCTTCGGATGTTTAGACGAGTTGCCCTGTAACTGGAGTACACTCAGATGAACTTGATTGAGGACAAAGAGCTGTAGGTCTTAAGTTTCTGAAATTGCATGAATGTAAACCTTCGATCTCACCGTCCAGGATCTTGCGAGCTGATGCCAGGAGCAGACCCATGGCGAGATCCGCACTGGCGTCGCTGACTACGCCGGGCGTGTTGGCCACCTTCACCCCGAGACTGTTAATGAACGGCACGTCCAGGTGGTCGATGCCCACTCCTGCGCTGGCGACCACTTTGAGGGAGGGGAGCAATCTGAGCAGCGAAGGCTCGGCCGCGGGGAAGTACTTCCAAATGAACAGGACCTGGATTTTGGGGCCGTGGAGCGCTGGGTTTTGTAGAAGCTCTCTGTAGCAGACGAGTTGGAAGTGTTGTTTCAGTATGTCAGCCATCTCTTCAAGGTAACTGTGGTCGCCCCCCAACTCTGAGACCAATGCCCACGCTTTTTCCTCCTCCATCACCTGGTGTCAAAAAGCTGAGGGAAAATAGAGAGTGTTCAATAAGTACACTAAAGCGAGTTCTCGTTACTGCACATCAGGATATGCAAAAATGTTTCAACAAGCAAGCGTAGAATTCAATTTATACAGAAAAAAGCTAAATGCATTTTTCTGTCGGTTTAAAAAATAGAGCTGTTATTTAAAGAATAAGAAGCATGTTAGCCCAAAATTATTAGCAAATAGCATAATTCTTTTTTAGAAAACTTCCCATTAAATTATTAAGAAATTACATCAAAGTGTCTTTTTATTCTGAGTTACTTTTACGAAGAAGAGACTCACCTTTTTAATCTGAGCTTGAGTTTCAACCCTTCAGTTCCCTCAGACTGATCAGGTAGAAGCTGAATGCTTGGTGGCTTTTTGTTAATAACCTTTGACCAGCGTTGTGTTGTCATTTTCCTCGGGAGAAGTTGGAGATTAAATGTAGTTAACTAATGTGAAAACCACACCAAGGGCAAACTTCACTCTGTAGCATAAAGAGGTGGCAGGGGGAGGAATGTTGTGCTTGGTTTGTTGTTCACAAATAATATCTGACAGAAGTTAAAGCTTGGCAAGCTACGTGCTCTAACCTCTCCAACTAACTGCATTGTGGTTGAAAGCTGCTTTACAAATAAACTTGTTTTAGCCATTGACTTTTGCAATTGTTCATTTGTTGGTAATATACATACAGTACATGGCCCCGGCCTTTTTGGGTCCGTTACTGGATTTTCATAACAGGTAGTTTCAGAGATTATGCCTCTTTTTGATCTTTACTATTCTGTGTATTGTTTAGCTCACCTGGTTTTGTCCAAAGATTAAAAAAAAATAATTGTTTATCCTTCGTTTTGTGTCTTTTTTCAGAAAATGTATTACACTAAAAATACGAGTGAAGGGAGATGGAGAGAGAGTCTGTAACCGCAACTGTATCTAACTATAAAGCAAGGAATCTGTCTGTGGCCTTCGCACATTTCCAGAACTGATCATCTGATCTACCTCACACTTGGTAGGTGTATTGCTCGGGATCCCGTGGAGGGCTATGTCAAATCTGGTGCAATTTGGACACTGAGTACTGATAAAAAACTTAGACTAAACAAACACAGCTCGTTGATTCTGGATACACTAACTCAACAAACCAAACTTTTTATTTAACTTCCTTGCAGGACGTCCAGCAGCCAATCAATTGGCCCGCTCCGAGGGGGCACGCCCTCTGAATGGAAAGCGTCCGGTCTGTCCGGTTGGTGCACCACTTTGCTTTAAACTGATAAAGGGATTCATGGTTCCCAGAGGATGAATCTTACAGACCTCCCCCCCTCAGACTCCACTATGAAGCTCACATGTTTAGTTTGACATGTCTTGATAACTACTGGATGGATTGCCGTGACGTTTGGCTCAGTCTTTCATGCCGGCCCCTCCCCATTGGCTACCGCCTTCAATGAGGGAGGCAAACTGAGCGGGGAATGCTCAGCTGCAGGGAAGCAGCTCCACATGAACATGGCCTGGATTTTAGGGCAGCTGGGGGTGTTTGTAAGAACTCTCTGCTACAGAGAATTTAAAGTGTGGTTTCAATATGTCTGGTTGGTCCTTTTTCGTCACCTTGAGGCATCAAACACAATGATTAGACATCAGAAATACTCAAACAGTGTTTGACAATGTCAAGGTGGGGGCAGAGATGGAATTCGCAAAACATTAAAGTTTTAAGCTGTTTGATTGGCTTTTATAACACAATGTGATGTGCACCAGTGGATATTCATCTTAACGGGTTAAAGAAGCTGCCCTCATATGTTGTTGGATATTTAGAACTGTGTGCGTATTCCTGTGTTGTGTTTGATTGTGGGTGGAAGGTGTGGAGGGATAATGCAGCACAGTATTACACAGTGTTGCATCATGTAGAGTCACAATAAGGAACATTTTTTTACACCAGTTTCCAAAATGCTTAAGTCAGTCAAATCTCCTCTCATTAATCAAACAGACTGTTATAAATAACACCAATGAGATGCTTAAAAGCTGCATATGAATAATGATAAAATTCACTAAGAATGTACGATCTTACAAACAGTGTGAATGGACTCACAATGTGCACCTTGTTTAGCTTTCCTTCTGCTCTGGAAGAACTAAACTGCTAATGGACTATCTCTAGTTGTGCTGTTGTGCTCATTGACTGCTGTTTCCACAAACCAATAACAGTTTATAGACGGGACTGAGAATGGTGAAGAATTCATGAAAAGTAGTGATGGTTGCAAAAACGGCAACAGAAGAAACAGCTGGAAGTGGGGCTTCAGCACCTCCTAGTGTCAGGGGGCTGTAACTGCAAAACAATGGTAGCCTATATCTGTTGAGTATTGTCACCTTCATGTTCAAAGTGTCACATAGCAACGTGTAGTTGTGGAAGGGTGAGACGATCATAGAGACTCAAGGACGCAGCCTCCATTTCTGAAAAGGGAAGTCAATGCTGAAGTGTCTTGAACCTGCATTCTCTCTAGTGTCCATCAGGGGGCGACTCCTCTGGTTGTATAGAAGTCTATGAGAAAATGACTCTACTTCTCTCTTGATTTATTACCTCAGTAAACATTGTAAACATAAGTTTATGGTCTCAATCTCTAGTTTCAAGTCTTCTTCAATACAGCATGATGTTCATTTAGTAAATTATGGTCCATTTAGAGTCAAACAGACCATGAAGCAGGGGATGCTTTAGGGCGGGGCTACACGGTGATTGACAGGTCGTTACCACGACGTTGTCCGGTCTGGGAGTTGTCCATGTTTTCGTCTTCCAATTTTAACCCTTTCACGGCATTTTAAAAATTCAGTTTAACATTTTGGTTCAGTTGTACTTAGTTCCACCTTCTTGTGTCAGTTCTAGTAGCAAAAAAACAAGATGGCGTCGACCAAAATGGGGAACTTGAGGCTTCGAAATTTAGTCCGTGAACCAATGGGTAAATAGACTCCATAGATTCACATGCAGTTGTTTCAGATTTTCTTCATTTTCAGGCTAGTTTGGTGGATTTGGAACCTGTCATGGTTAAACATAGTGTGATAATGATACTTGTTATCTAGAGAGGTTGGAAGGAGATAAACGTTTCTATGTGGGGCTGGACTGCTCTGCTTCTTTGAAGGGCCATGTTTTTGTTCAGAGTTGTGGGTCTTCTGTTTGTTCTGTTTTTCCTTGTATAATTCCTTCATGTTTATTGTTTCCTGTTTTATTTTGATACTCTCCACCTCTCCTTGCTGTGCTGGTCTGCTCAGCCCTGATTGTTTCACCTGTCCGTCATCATCACCCTCCTGTCCCTGTGTATTTACTGTCTGTGTTCTCTTCTCTTTGTGCCAGTTCATCATTGGCCTTTGTTCCTTGTATTGAACGCTCCAGTATGGTGTTTAACTTCGTCTTGTTTTATGGAGGTTTCTTGCCAGCTTTTGGGCTCTCAGGCTGTAAGTAATGCTTGTTTTCAAATCATTGAACTCCTGCTGCCTCTGCATCAGTTTGTCTGCGTTTAGGTCCAATCCAGCAATTCCTGAGAATTTGGGCGAGTACATTAGCACACCTTCTCAGGCTTCACAGGAACAGTGTTGTTCCTTAATGTGATTGTCTCCTGTCTGGATCTCCAGGGGATGTGGTGGTTCACTTTTACACTCTGATCTGTATCTTTAGCTTCTATCTTTTATCTCTCTTTAAAGCTGTTTTTGCTGCTGAATCAGTTTGACAGCCTGGATAACGGTGAAGGTTCCAATTCTCTTCGCCAGATCATCCATTGTGCTCTGCAGCTTTAGCGTTCCAGGAAATGTCTTTTTTTTGTTTTTGCTTTATCTGAGCTGTGGTTGAGTCCCCACATCAGAAGCATTAAAGGTAGACTAAATATTAAGAAAAGCAACCCAAAGTACTCCATCCAATTATTGATCTGACTGAAAATCCTGTGCTTTCATCTACACGGAGCGGTGGGGCCTTGTTGGTCTTGATTCCTTTCATGTTTGACTCCTAATTCCTTCTCAGTAGGCTCGCTATGCTTGTTCCTCTATTTATTATGCAACTCTTTTGATAACAGCAAGTGTGCTGAAGGGGGGGGGGGGGGGGGGTCATTTCCATATCCCTCCTAGCTTTAATATGGAGAGAAAAAGTGAGTGCACGGTTCACTAATGGCCTTGTCTTGAATCTGCAGACATACTGCGCATTTGGACAATAAAATCTAAAGACTCCATTTGCCATTCCCCGCTGCTGAAGCCCTGCTGAGCTGACACAGTTTTTCATTTTCACTAATGAAAAGTAAAAGGAATGAGGTGCTGTATGGATTATAAATTCAAGCAGGATTGCAAAACTGTATGAACAGATCTATGAAGTTAGGTCAGAAAGTTGTCTTTTGTAAATCACCACTTCAAAAAAAACACTTTATTTAACCTGTCACTTTTCTAACCTATGTCAAAACACAATGTTTTAAGGATGAATTTAATTATATATCGCATAATTATGATCCCAAAGTTATTATCAAAAGCAAGTAGTATTTAAGCTTTTAGCCTCTCTCAGTCTTTTCATGAAACACTCTGTGGAAATGACAGTATCTTATTCTGTGTCAATCATTACTGCAGAGTAAAGCTCTAATGTGTTTAATGTATTCGTCAAGACAGCAGGGCCCTTTTTAATCTGTCTTTGTAGCAAGATCTTTATCGTGCAGTTAGAAAGTGATCAAAGACAGATCCGTTAGGTATGCAAGAGAGGACTTTAAAGGTGCTACATTTGAAATTCAGAGCAGTAATACAGCAGCAAACAACTGTTGGTAATGTGAAGATACAGTGGAGTAATACCTCTACCTGAGCACAGAATGAAGTGACTCTTCCTCTGTGTTTGTTGTTATCCGAGCTGCTCTGTGCTGTTTGTTTACACAGACATGCGTGCGACTTCTAGTGTGTGTGCTCCACTGGCTAGCTAATGGCCGCCGCTCAGCTCTGCACTCATACAGCGGTCACTGCTGATAACAAAATCCCAACCAACAGCGTCATCG